GTACATTATAGTCATGTTTATTATGCATTATGAATTGTTAACATAATACATTATAAGTACTGTTCATAACAAATTATGAGAGCTCATAAGTTGTATTTGTCCGCTCTAAGTAAAGTGAAGCGTACTGTACTAAAGCCTCCTCCAGTGTTACGAGTGAGGCTTCAAGTTGAAGTATTTACTGAAGGATTTACTGAAACACTAAAACATTCACAGTAAAGCACATTACAGGCTTCAAATGTCAGAGTTTAAACTAGTGCTGCCATCAGTGTTTTACCCAATGTGGGAAAGGCAATGTACACCACCGTTAGCTTGGTATTTGTCTTTACTTTACGCTCTCCAAGCTGGGACTGACTTCTTTGGCACTGACATTATAACATGTTATTAACACTATTTATAATGCATTATATTAACAATTCATAATGTATAACAAACATCACTATAAAGTGTAATTCAGTGTCATTCTTTTTTATAAATATTTATAACCATGTTTATAATGCCTTATGAATACATTATAACCTGTTATAAATGTGTTTATAGATGCTTACAAAGGTGACATTCATAGAAAGTGTTACCAATGTACTTAACTAGATCACTTAAACAAGTAAAAATGGCCAGAAATAAGTCAAATGATCTAAAATTAAACTTACAACAATTTCAACAGGAGAAATATTAGATTTATTGATTAAGATAATTTTACTTGACAAGATATCGTTTTTTGCAGTGTTAGTATTTGCACTTGTGCTGCAGTAATGAATTTGTGTACTTCTACCTCTATCTACTACAAAATACTATTTCTATTACATCAATTTCCATTTTCTTTTTGGCACTTGGCAGCCACTTTAACCCAGAGCGACGTACGTTTTAATCTCATTACTGAGGAAAGTGGACCTGAATGTTGTGTTAGGAGTCTTGCCCAAGGACTCTTATTGATATAGCATGGTGTCTGAGTGGGTAATCGAACCCCAGTCCGCCGCACTTACAGCCCGCCACTAAGACTAAGTTCATGCTTTCTGGATCTGTTCCAGTTGAGCCAGAGATTGCTGGGAAAATATGCTCTGTAAGTGAAACTGCTCTGAAAAGAGAGCTGCTGTTTTCTTACGGTCCTTAAAGCAGCCGTTTACAAAGAGGTCACACTGAGCAGAGCTCTGAATACCGCAGACTGAAGACTAATTCAGCTCAAGTGTTCAGCGGGCACTGTCCACAGATGTAGCCTTTTGATTCTCAGCATTATGTGAAAATAAGAGGCTTTCACAAAGCCTAGCATAAACTGCTAAATAAGCTGGAAAGTGTGTTCCAGCTGCACTGTACGCTATCACCCGCTCTCATTCTCCTCCTTCAGCTCGGCTTTGAAGAATGACGGAAGTGACAGTGGCCTTTTCCCAGGCCATTTTCCTCTCTGTCAGGGAGAGAGGAACATATTAAAATTAGCATGCAGCAGAGCAGTTCCTTCAGAAGGCAGTGATAGGCCTCATCTGGCTGTTCAGCATATTTTAGACCTTTTTGCTTTCTTAGCAAAAGTGATATCAAGACGTCGGGACAGTCTTTTTGACAGTTAACAGCTGGCCAGAGGGCTGCCTGCTAATGTAACATGTAATTCCTCCAGTTAAAAGGCAAACCAGCTTAAAATGTGGATCTCCTGGATATAGATGAACCTTTAGCAGAATTACAAATCTTCACTGACCACCGACTTTTTCTTTGAACTGTCTGTTCGCTGCAAGTCAGCCTGAAGTCATTTAAAAGTCAGAGGAGTTTTTCAGATCATATTGTGTGTCTTTACGTGTTAACGTCACACGCACAGGCTCAAACAGGAGGTCCGGCTCCATGTTTAGGTCTCCAAGGCAAAATCAACTTTATACTGATGAAGATATGATAGTAGATGGTTCACTCACATCCTGAGAAGCTCACGTCCTTCACCAAGTTTTGACGGAGATCTCTTTGAATTCTCTTTGAACTCACTTGCAGTCGTCAGATTCATCTGCTCGTGGAAGGGGTTCGAAGCACAATCTTCTGCACATTGCTTGCAATTACACATTTCCTCCAGAGAGGTCTCCAAATCCCCAAATCTTACATAGTGCAGCTTTAACCCCATTGCTGTCATATGAAGGCTAAAGAAGAGAGCTAATAGCAGATTTTACAGTGTGTTTGTGCTGTATTTCCGGGTTGTGGGATGTTAGAGCTGGTTTCTCTCACTCTTTGTTTATAAAATGAAGGCTAAAAGCAGAGATGTAGTATAACTGGAGCGTGTGGGTTGTGGGTGATTTTGGAGCTGGATTGCTGGCTGATGGATGGTCACAGGTGGATGAAATCACTCTGGATTATGAGGGCAGAGTCTGATGAGTGCTCTGATGTGTGAATCATGTCACCGTTTTAACCCTTTGTTGTAATATGAAGGCCAAAAAGCAGAGCAATAATATCAGGATTTTCCAAGCTGAATTACTCACTGATGCTGACGTCACAGCTTGATGACATGGTCTAAATGGTCTGATATGTGTATCATACCTGTAGCTTAAACCATTCTGAAGTTATGAAAACCAGAAGTGACTCACATTTTTGCCCAAAATTGTGGGCTTCGGGTTATAAGGATTAAACAAGTGGTTTCACTGTATCATGGTATTAAGCAACCACACAAAAAACACGAGACGGTGGTGTAAAATAAAGTGAAGATCACCACTCAGATATACATTTAACATATAACTCTATCATTATCCTTGAACATTATATTCTGAACAGTTTCTTCACCTTTTGAACCCAACATTTTCTTTGTTTTTGGTGAGGTGAGATTTTCAAGGACAAAATACCTTTTTACATCCCTTTATATGAAATGAACAATAAAAAACTGAATAAAAAATGAATCCCCTACTATTGTTACTATGAATATTTTGCTTTTAAAGATATTTGTAGGTCACTATATTGTTTAGGGCGCTGTTTATGGAGTGGATGCAGTGAATGTGCTATATAGACGGTTCTGTATAGAACCTTTTTTAAAAAAACCCAAAAAGGGTTCTTCTACTGTTACAAGCTTGACACTGTAACAATAGCAGAACACTTTTGGGTGCCATATAGAACCATTTTCAAAAAGGTTCTACCTCACATTCTCTATCAATCTGAAGAACCCTTTCATTATGGAAAGAACCCTTTAATAATGCAAAGGGCTCTTTGAGTGTTCATGGTTCTATATAGAACTATTTTCTTTACTGAAGAACCCTTGAAGAACCATTTGTTTTGAGAGTGTCCTACACTTCCAAAACCCATTGGTGTGCATCAATATTGAATGAGAAAAGGACAAAATACACATAAATCTGTGATTTTATGAGTTTAAATATTTACAGCTTGTCTGAAATCCAGATAAAATCATTTACTATTATATTCAGCAGCTGAAAAGTACTTGAAAGATCTTTCACCATGTTTGTTCTTGGGCAAACAGAACGTTCTACTAGTGACAGTTTTTCTGGGAGGTTGAGTACAGGGTTGGAGAAGGGGTTGGCGTCAGCACTGGAAAAGTCAAAGACAGCCAACACTCATATGTTCTACATGCCAGAAACTCTTTTCGATAAAACCTTCAGGGCCAAGCTGTTGGCTGAACAGGCTGCTCATAAGCTGTCTGAGATGTTCCCTTGGAGAACTGGACATAGCTGGAGAAAAAAGACAAAATCCAGCCTTGGAGCTCCTTCAGAAAAACTGGGCATGATCTGAGAAGAGAGAGGATGTGCCAGGAGTGTGTATCACTCTCACATGTTTGGCTGTCAATACATGCAGCCACAAGTTTGGCCTATAAAGATCTTGCGGAGAACAGCCAGCATCTTAATGCAGCCACTGAGGAGCTAAAGCATGGAGGCCAAACAGCCAGTCATAGTGGAGTGACTTCTGCTTCACTCAAGCTTTTATTGATAGAAAGTCAGAACAACATTTTAAGATGCCACAAAGTCTAAAAGACTCCAAACATTCGTTTTAGCAGGGAAAATGAGGGAAAACCTCCCTCTCATAAGACATTTTGTTGATAAAATATATATATATATATATATATATATATATATATATATATATGCACTGAGCACCTTGTATCTACACTCACTGTCCATTTTATCAGCTCCACTGAGCATACAGGAGTACTTTGTAGTTCTACAGTTACAGACTGTAGTCCATCTGTTTCTCTGCATACTTTGTTACCCTGTTCTTCAGTGGTCAGGACCCCCACAGAGCATTTATTTGGGTGGTGGGTCATTCTCAGCGCTGCAGTGACCTTGATGTGGTGGTGGTGTGTTAGTGTGTGTTGTGCTGTTGCGAGTAGATCAGACACAGCAGTGCTGCTGGAGTTTCTAAACACTGTGTCCACTCTATCAGACACTTACAGGTCCACCTTGTAAAGCCAGAGATGATAGCCCATCTGCTGCTGCACAGTTTGTGTGGGTCATCCTCTAGTCCTTTATCAGTGGTCACAGGACGCTGCTCACAGGACGCTGTTAGCTGGGTGTTTTTGGTTAATGGACTATTCTCAGTCCAGCAGTGACACTGAGGTGATTAAAAACTCCAGCATATATATATATATATATATATATATATATATATATATATATATATATATATATATATATATATATATAGTTAGTGTTGGAGTGAAACAAATAATTGCTTTTTCATCCAAAATCAGACAAAATGTTAAAAGGACAGATGGAATGCTTACTTTATTCTTGTACAGTCATTTGGTCCTTGTTTCCACAAAATTATATATATATATATATATATATATATATATATATATATGTATGTATAATGATAATAATAAATACAATTTTGATAATTGCATAAATAAAAATAATTATGTAATTAATAATAATAATAATAATGATTATAATTATTAATAATAATTAGGTTGTAAAATAATACATAGTACAATTAATTTTTGTTTAATAAATAGTTATATTTCCGTAAATTATTTAGACAGAACAACAACACTGTACATTTTATACAGTCCTCCGCACATATACACCCGTACAGATCTTTCACAGATAATAGTCTTGGGACTTGTTTGGTGGCAGACATTTAGATTTGCCTTCTAGTGTATTGATACAGGCCAGGTTTGGCAAACATGGACACGTGTGGTGGAGCCTCTTCCCATTGAAAGGAACCTGCAGACAATAATTACCACAGTTACAAAATGTAAATGAAATGCATATCCAAACTACAGACAAACATAACTAGAGAGAAAAGGGAAAAGGCACTAGAAGACATACTCTTATGCCTAATGCATATATATATATATATATATATATATATATATATATATATATATATATATATATATATATATATCACTGTTGTTGGAAGAAAACCTCCATTTTTGTCGTTTTTCAGTTTTTTACATTATTTGAAAATGCCTGTTGCTCTTTATATTGTGTATGAATTCATGATGAATGGACCAAATGAAATGGCCCAAAATTACTTCTGGTTCCATTGACTTACATTACAATCAAAGCAGGTTTTTTCCTTCTCCTGTAAAGATGCCATTTTGGAGATATGAGGTTTTTTCCAACAGCAGCGATATACATATCCACAAATGCTTGGAGAAAAAATAGCTAACTATTCATTCAATAAAAAGAATTTCTGCAAAAGCGTTGTTGTGTCTTCAGAATGTGGAAAAATTATTGGCACCCTTGAAAAATACTATAAATAAAACCAAAGGATTGTGTGTCATTTGGGAAAAATGTTTCTTGATATTTCTTTTATTATCTAGGAACTTTATTGCTGTCTATGACCATTTCCTGGTTTCACTGGGGTATAAATATGAGGTAAAACACAGGGAAAATCCCTTTGTCATCCATTAACATGGGTAAAACCCAAAAGCTCTCAGCACAAAAGAGAAAAAGAGCTGTTGAGCTGCATAGACTGGGAAATGGCTACCATACAAAAATAGGTGAGCAGGTGAAATTACCAGTAAGCACAATCAGGGCCACAGTAAAGGAGTTTCAAAAGCATGGAACAGTTGAAAATTTGCCAGGGAGTGGATGTATCTGCACATTTCCACCACACACAGTGAGAAGGATGCTGAGAGAGGCAAGGAGAAGCCCAAAGACTATAAATCACAGTTTCACAACTACAAAGTTTAGTTGCAACTTGAGTTTTCACTGTTTTAAAGTCAACAGTAAGACGCCACCTCCATAACCAGGAGCTTTTTGGATTAGGGTTAGACACAAATCCCAGCATCTGGACTTTGTTAAGCAATATTGGAATTACAGCTGGAAAGGTGTGTTGTGGTCAGCTGAGACAAAAATTAACTTTCCAGCTATGCACACCATCGTCACATTTGGCAACCAAGGAGACAGAGTTCAAAGAATGGCTCCTCATAAGCATGGTAAAATATGGTGGTAGCTCTTTGATGCTTTGGGGCTGTTTTGCTGACAGTGGTCCAGGGGCCCTTGTCAAGGTCAGTGGCATAATGAATTCCTTTTAATTACTGAAACATTTTAGCTAAAAATCTGGTTGCCTCTGCTAGAAGGCTGAAACTGGGGTGCGCTTGGGTCTTCCAACAAAATAATGACATGGTTGCAGCAACACAAAATCAAGGTTTTGCACTGACCCTCTCAGTGTCCAGACTTGAACCCCATTGAAAATCCATGGTCTCAGCTGAAGAGGGCAGTTCACAAGAGAAAACCCAAGAATCTGAATGAGTTGGAAATCTTCTGCATGGAAGAGTGGTGTGAGATCCCACCACAAGGGTTCTCCAACACCACAGAAAAGGCTGAGTGCTGTCATTCTCACCAGGGCAGGCTCCACCAAATACAAAAATTTTGGGTGCCAATATTTTTGGAATCTGTATTTTTATGAAAAATTGCACCACTAAAGGAAACCTTTCTTATTTTATTATAATATATAAATAATATGATATTTTATTCCAAATATCTTTGTATCAATAAAAGCATTAGGTTTACCCTGTTGTGTGGATCTTTTTATATGTTAATTGTAGCTCATTTTCAAGAAGGGTGCCAATATTTCTGGAATTGACTGTATATTTACAGTGAAAAATAAAAAATAAACACAACCTCTACAGCAAACTAAATAACATTTTTTTTCTGCAAATGTTTACAGTTCATTTGACAGTTAATCACTAATAGGGACAAAAAGGGAAAAGTAGTTGTGGTCATTTGCATAAGTCATGAAGTTTTAGAACTTAATTAGCCTGCTTGGCCTTAATTGACTCTTTTAAGGTGGTTATGCGGGTAAAGAATTGTCATTTAGAATTGTTAGCTGACGAGAAGTCCAGAAGGTAATAAATTCTCTGACTCTTCTAACCTTGTGTTAATACTCAACAACAGGGGAACTGTAGAGGTAAAAAATAATAATGAAAAAAATGAAAATAATAATAAATTGTGGCCTGTGCTGAAGTCCAACAGGCTAAACTTGCATAAATAGAAATAGTGCATAAAAATTTACAGAATAATGCCATATTTAAGTGTGTTCCCTGTTGAGGAATCGTTAATTTATTTTGACTTAGAAAGCATTTCTAAATGACCAGGATGTTCATTAACATATTTTTTTTTACTTATTATATAGTACTGGTGTTTGTTATATGGTCATATATATCAAGCATGTATTCATAATTCCTTTGTGTTATACAGTAAAGATACTGCAGATTGAGATATTTTAAGACATTCCTTTAAGACATGCTTTCTGAGTAATGAAGCCATGATTTGATAGATAGATTCATTCAATGTCACTAGACTGAATTAATGAGCTGTGATCTACCTGTGATCTAAAATCATAACCTGCCTTTTAATTTAAAATATCAAATGTTTCATGTTATAGAGGTCAAACATATTAAGAACACAGAAGTCCCCATTCTGTACTGTTAAAATCATTCTAAGAAAGCATTTCTAATTTCTAAATGACTGCACAGTTCATTAATATTTATGTATTTATGCATTTTATTTATTATACAGTACAGGTGTCTATTATAGAGTCATATATATCCAGTATGTATTCATGAAAGTGTTCCTTTATGATCTGTTATACAGTACAGATGCTGCAGATGGAGATATTTTTAAGACATTCCTTAAACACCTGAGTGCTTCTGTAAAATGACAGATCCTTTTACTCTGGAATGATGAGTGATGACGACAAACTTGATAAAAGAGGCGATGAAAAAAGGAAATGGTGTGATAGAAGTGAAGGAAAGCGTGGTTTTACCTTGTGGCTCATCGGATGGCACTCCTCCCCCTCCAGCCCCATAGGTGTACACATCCGCAGACTGCGTATCCACAGACTGACCGCACAGCACATCCCCCCACCACACTGAGAATCTCGCTCACAGGCCTGCACACACACACACACACACACACACACACACAGAGCAGAATTTATTAATGAATATTATATATACATATATATATATATATATATATATATATATCGCTGTTTTCGGGTAAAACCTTGTATCTCCAGAATGGTAACTTTACAGAAGAAGAAAAAAACATCTTTTACTTTTAATGTAAGTCAATGGAACCAGAATTTTATTTTTCATTTATTTTGGTCCATTCATTATGAACTTTACACACAATGTAAAGGACAACAGGCATTTTCAAATTATGTCAAAACTGAACAACAACAAAATTTAGATACAAGGTTTTGTTCCAACAGCAGTGACATTTACACACACACACACACACACACACACGTATATATATATATATATATATATATATATATATATATATGTGTGTGTATATACGGTCAGTTTTCTGACTGTCTTACTGTCTCAGTTAATCCCTTAAAATCTCAGGCTTATTAATAAAACTTATTATTCAGTACCTACAGGGACTTCAGTGCAAACTGGCTGAGCTATTCTAGGGTTATAGACATGCGTAATAAAACTTTGTGGTGGCCATTTAAGGTGTTAAACTAAATCAGTTTAATTGCTTATTATCTAATTATTAGAGCACATGGGAATATTCACAGGTTTTGTAAGTGGACTTTTTATGTAAAGAGTCCTCACTTGGAGTGAGACCAGTCTCAGCAGGGGCTTCTTTACAATTACTATAAACAATGTACATATTAAATGCAAAACATACAGTTTGGGTAATAATAAAGGCAATATTGAAAAACTCATGTGACTTTTATTTATTTATTTATTTAATATTAATATTTTATATAATATTCTTGACTGAGATTATTAATGAATTTTAAGTAGTGATTAACTCACTAATGAACCTCTAAGCACAAACATGCAGGACATAAGCATATTATATATCACCAGCATTTGAAAGAATAAAACAGCACAAACATTTAGAAATCTTCACATTTCAACTAAACATGCTTTCTGAGTAATAAAGCTATGATTTGATAGACGGATTCGTTCCTAATGTCACCAGACTGAATTGATGAACAGTGACCTATGATCTAAACATATAACCTGGATTTTAATTTAAAATATCAAATTCTACTCCTGTTAAATGTTAAAGGGGTCAAACATATTCAGAACACATAAGTCCCCATCCTGTACTGTCTACACAATCATTTTAACATAACATGAAAATGCCCTAAATCCTCTGATACCATTTCAAATTCACTTAAAAATGATATCCTATCTATCTGCATACACTCTTAAAGACTGACTGTCTCTTAACATAGCTGCACTTCCACTTTAACACAAGCAGAAATGCGCCTAAAGCACCTGAAACTTTCTAAATGCTGCAATGACAATCAGACTTTAAATCTGCACATATTTAAGATCATACAATAAGGGGGTATTATGTAACAAATAATTACATAATACCCCCTTATACTGTCCTTAAATAGGTTTAGGTTTCAGATAAACAGCATTAAATAAAATTGAACATTAATTTAAATCTAGTAAATCTAACCCAAAACCTAAACTTAATCCTACAATCAACCTTAACACTAATGTTGTAGATAATCAACAGTGTTTCAGGGTAATTTGAGCATTTGTAGTTAACAGAGTGGCCAAAATACGTTTGTGAAACATGATTATCTTTACAATGCAATGATACAGTAAATTCATCAGTAATAAGAAAGATTTTTCAAGTCAGAACAACCTAAAACACCATAAAATATTCTATACTTTAAACCGACAGTCTGTTTTTATGTCCACAGTTCTGCAAATACTTAACAACATGCAATAAATATTACATCAAATTTATATTTATTGCAGTCACACTGCATTGAATGCCATAGTAAATTTATTGGCACCATTTAAACAATGGCAAAGTCAATAATTTCTACTAATGTTGGCAGGCTCAATATAAACTGTCCAATTGATTACCCTCTGGTCAAGCCTAACCACTGTCCCCTGGTTAATCTCGGTACACTCACCCCTGTTATGACCGCACAAGAGCCGTATGACCCCAAAACCAGACAGAAGAAGAGAGAAAAGATGGACCTCATGGTGCTCCGCGGACTTCTCTCCAAGCGCTAAAATGATGTAGGATATGAAAAAAAAAGAAATTCCAATTTTTTTAATGTTTATTTTCAAGGTGACCGTTGAGAACGACTGCCGTGTAGAGTAAGCGTGCGAGGCTGGTTGGAGCGAGAGGTGGCCTCCAACTGTGAACTTGAGGGAAGGTTGATTTATAAACGCTGCCCTCCATTCAAACTTACGATGAGTCACTCAAATATCTGCATCATCTTCAAGAACGAGGGGAGTTAATCCAGGAGGAGGGGCAGCACTTTTACAGTCAAGCTGAATTTGACGCTGTAGTTCAGAATTAATTTTTACCATGGTGACGAATAACACAAAAAACCCCCACAAAAGCATGGGCTTGCACGCTTTTAAAGCAGAGCTGTTTTTCTTTTTTTCAACCCCAAATTTAGCTGCTGAAGCTTGCTCCTGCACCCCCACCCCCACCCCCAATCATTTTGTCAAGGCCAAGATGTTTATTTCTCCCATAATGCAATCCATGAAGCTCAGAAAAGAGGACGTGACAACAAAGAAAAAGACCCTGACGCTCGCTCGCCCACTCCAGGGGTCCCTCTCAAATATTTGCGACCGGATTGAATGTCTAATGGGTCACGGATGGTGAGAATCTGCATCAATGTTGAAACGTCAATTGAAAACTCAACCGTGGAAAGAAATCAAAAGAAGCCGTGCATTTTCAGCTGCAGCGTCCTTGAGTGTTAAGAACAAAGGTTCAAGAACATGATTGGACGTAAAACATTCTGTTACGCATTGCAGGGATCTTGGAATGGCCGTCTCTCTCACAATGGCAATTAAAAGAGATTTTTTAACCTCTTACCGAGCCATGGGCTCGGCACGTTCCCATCCTGTACTGTCTACACAATCATTTTAACATAACATGAAAATGCCCTAAATCCTCTGATACCATTTCAAATTCACTTAAAAATGATATCCTATCTATCTGCATACACTCTTAAAGACTGACTGTCTCTTAACATAGCTGCACTCCCACTTTAACACAAACAGAAATGCGCCTAAAGCACCTGAAACTTTCTAAATGCTGCAATGACAATCAGACTTTAAATCTGCACATATTTAAGAACATACAATTCTATAACTTAAGAACAGCTTCACTAGTTTGCATTGAAGCCCCTGTAGTTATTGAATAATAAGCCTTAGTATGTAACAAGCCTGGAATGTTAAAGGGTTAAGTGACGACAGAGGTGGGCCTAATCACTGGCATCGTAGAAACACTGTAATTGTCATGTAAATGCAACACTTACAACTGATTAATCAGTTTTTCATGAACCTTATTTATTTCTATTCATCTGATGGTAATGTGACAACTGACCCTGAGTCAAGGAAAAGCTTATAAACTGTTATGAATAGATAAATTTATCCTATTAAACACCAGCTATACTTGTGCGTTTACATATTGCCTTTCCAGCTATGAATGAATGTTCCACAGCGCACTGCTGAAAGAATAGCTCCAACATTTGTACAGTGCTTTGAATTTCCTTCAGAAGCTGAAGTATTGAGTTTATTGAGTTTATTGAGTTTACTGATGTATTGAGTTTAGTTCCATTTACTATTCCAGGTCAACAAGGTGGCATCTGCAGTTTATATGCTCTAAAACACGAATAAACTATTATTTTTGCTACTTATATACTCTTAAAATGATGGTTCTTCAAGGGTTCTTTAGTAAACAAACTGGTTCTATATATAACCATGAACATTCAAGAACTCTATGCATGATTAAAGGGTTATTTTTATGGTGAAATGATTCTTCAGATTGATGGAAAATATGCTGTAGATGGTTCTATATAGAGAAATGATTCTTATATTGTAGGAAGCCTGACGTCATAACAATAGAAGAACCCTTTTGGTGCCATATAGAACTCTTTTCAAAAAGGTTCTATATAGAACCACCTACCTCACATTCTCCATCAATGTGAAGAACCATTTCACCATGCAAAGAACCATGGTTCTGCATAGCACCGAAAAGGGTTCTTCTATTATAAGAAGCTTGACATCGTTACAATAAAAGAACCCTTTTTGGTGCCACATAGAGCCCTTTTTTTAAAAAAAGGTCCTATATAGAAGCATCTACAGCACATTCTCCATCAATTGGAAGAACCACTTAATGATGCAAAGAACGCTTTAATCATGGAAAGTGTTCTTTGACTGTTCATGGTTCTAAATTAGAACCCTTGAAGAGCCATCATTTTTAAGTGTGTATGATGAAATGAATTTTCTACTTAAGTCTTTTTCAGTATGTACTTTACTTTTATTTATAATACTTGAGTAATGGTACTTTACTGCTTATTATAGTTATTAAAACATCCAACCAAATTCACATCAGTGTAAAATCAAACTGCCCACAACTTTTCTGACCAGTCGTTGTGTGAGGACCAGAACGTCCGGTTAGTCTTTGCACCACAAACGACCGAACAAAGAAAACTTTTACAAACCTCAATTCCTAAAAAAGTTAAGTGAAGGACAATTCAAGACCAGGAACACCTTGAAATGTTCTAAAAACAAATTCAACAGGTGATGCAGTCATGCTCAGGTATAAAATGAACACTGAAGTACGGCTTGGTACGTTATGAAGAAAGGAGGATGGGTCGAGGCTACTGTGGAAATGCGTATTGTGGTCTGACAAGTCAAGCTTTCAGATTATTCATGGAAGTAGTGGAAGAAAAGGACCATCTAGACTGTTACCAGCATATAGTTCTAATTTTGACACCTCCTAAATGAAAGGTGCTTATGCTAAAAGATACACCATTCATTACAGTATCTACCTTCACATTTAGTGATTCATGCTTACATACACCCATTCATCCATACATATGTTTATCTATACATTATCACTCCTCTAAAAATGAAAAAAATGAATAAATAAATAAACTGCCTTCTGCCCGATGACCACTGGGATACCACAGATAATGTGTGTTTGTGTGTGTAAATAAAAAACCTGAAAATCTGCTAGGATGCAATTGCCACAGCAAAATAAATATGACTAAATGGGTTCTTTGGAGCAATGCCATTGGGAAATCACTCTTGGTTCCCTGAAGAACCTTTCAATGGAGGTTTTTTTTAGGAACCACATTTGTAAATGAGACACATCTGTGTGACGATCCGTTTTAAAGTTTAAAGATTAAACCTCCACAAAGTGTAACGGGTCCATATTGATTCAAGTTTTTTCTTGGAACAATCCACCCAAACCCTGAACCATTTAGGAACCATGAAAGCCACTCTAATCTGTTACATTACAAGACTTGGCTTGCGTCCCTCCAGACAGCTTCATCAGCACAAACTGTTCAGCTTTGGCAGAGCGGCAGAGATGAAGAGAGGTGTGATCGCACCATACGGAGCAGGGATTCAGCATCCAGCCTCGCCACTTGCATATGCTCAACCACTACATCAGATCTGTTCACACTGGGCGTATATGTGTACGTTAACCCTCGCTCAGCTCTCTCCACATACAGCATGATCCCATAATGAGTTTGTTAATCGCTGTTTGTTGCAATTGTGTAAAACGCACAACCTTAACAAGCTGAGTACCCTTTGCTTTGCGTCAGAAAGCATTGATATATCTTACAAAGTTTTAAATATTTAACACAGAACACAGTATTAATGTGTCACAAACCCACTGTTGCCCCGAGGGAACCAAGGGATGTCAATAACATCACAGTTTCTAATTCCCACAGAGTGTGGCTGACAACTTCCACCAGGCTCATTCACTGATTTATTCATTCATTGCAGCTATAATGTGGGAATATCTTGTATATGACTATAGACCCTTTTCACAAGTTCCACTCTTGCCTTTCATACAGTTATTAACTTCAGAAATACAGGCGTTCGTTTCACTTCAGCTCACCACAGAAAGGTGTGCCACTTTATCTTTGTCATAGTTGCCAAGAGTTCAGAACTGTTGGAGAACTAAACACACAACAATGTAGGAGTCCAAACTAAATAAAGATATAAATCCTTCATGGAAAAATTCCTTCACAGCTATCAGAGCACAGTAACGTCAGCTAACACCCTCAGAGCGATAAAACGATGGATAGATGAAAATAACTATAACCAAAACACTGGATTAGCCATATTAGCTGGAGATGTTGAAGCAGCTTGCTAACAATAAACAAGTAAGCAAGAAGCTAAACACACACACCTACAGGCAGGGGGCGCGCCAGGGTCATCATGGTCTGTAGCACCACTGTAGATGTTATCTACAAACACCAGCTCCAGTGAATGAACATCTATTCCCTGCCGAGCACTCGCTCTCTCAGATACTGACAGCTTTTGAGGGAGAAAGTGAAAACTGTTCCTCTGAAAGCGGCTGAAGCAGCAACTTTAAACCACAGACTGCATTCAGTGTAACATTAGTCAGCAGGGAAATGTTGACACAGAGGTTCTTTTCCTCCATTTGACAAAGTTTATTCCTTTAGTAATTGCACAAAATCTATTTTCCTCATGGTCAGTGGACAAACCACTGAAACTGAGATAAGAGTCTAAGACTTGAGTGAGCTGTACATGCTCTTCTCGTCATTGTTGCTATTGTTATTGCTTTAGTGGAAGCAGCGTTGCTCTGCTACGACTACTTCAGCAGAAAAAATGCAGAAATGTGAAAAGGTGACTAAATGCATGACTAACACAGAGGAACCCTCAGGGTACTATAGTCTTTCAAAGAAGGCACAATGATTTCTAGGAACTATAAGTTTTAGTTCTATTTTTATCATCTTTTTTTGTATTTGATCTCCACAGGTACTGTAGTAATTCTCTGTGTCTAATTACATCATTGTTAAGTTTTGATTGGAAACAATAGGTGACATTTTTTGAAACCTAACAACGAACTGCCCAATCAGGATTGTTTGTTTGTTTGTGGTATCTACACACTTAAAAAGATGGTTCTTCAAGGGTTCTTAAGTAGAGAAAATAGTTCTGTATAGAACCATGAACACTCAAAGAACCCTCTGCATGATTAAAG